TCAGCAGTGTCATCACTTGGTTAGTTGGCTTAAAAAAGAATCATATACAATGTGCCTCGCCAGCTCCTTGTGGCCTTTGGATACATTTAGCAGGTTCTGACCAGATAAGGCATATTTGTCCTGAGGATATAAACCAATAATTCCAACCTGAATTGAGATCAATGGGCCCACATTTGTTCTAACCCGCACCGAGCCTCTTCCGGCTCGCCGAGGCTGCTTTTCTGTGCTATGAGAACAGAGGAGTAAGCTTCCCGCTCTGGCAGGGAAATCACATTCTATAGACTCCGATGCCTTAAATCAATTAATTACACGACTTAGCTCTCCTTCCGAAGCACTAAATACTCATGAACGGCACGGAAGACCCTCCCGAGTCAAAAAAGAGGGGCAAAAGTGAGGCTGTTCCGCGTCACCAAACCCTTTTAATTCATTGCGGGGGCTTCACTTACGTTAACTGTTTTCTTCCTCATAAAGCAATGCCAGAGAAACCATTTTTTATAGCTCCACAAATATAATTACGCTGGAGTTTATGTAAGATAACGTAACAACGTGGAGGGCGAAGGAAGAAGGGGGAACGCAGCGCAGCGAAGTAGGAAGCGTGGTCAGGAAAGAGGCCCTACGGGAGAGAGCGTCTACGGGACATCGCCGTGACCCTTGCAGAGCCAGATGCAGGCAGGGCACAGGCGCGTGCGCGCACGCGTGTGCACGCCCAGGCACACGCACCCACACGTATGTGTCCGTGTGCACACATGTGCGTATGTATGCCTGATTTTTCTACGGTATTCCTGAAAAGGACGGGAGTATCGTTTTCCTCATGGAATAATGTTTTCTGGGAAAACACAAAAGCAGATGGTCTTCATTAGGAACACCCATTGTCCGCATATCCCAACTATGAACAGATAAATCTCTCTTGTTTCACCCGTACATTCCAAGGGCTGTAAATGATTACAGGATGTCGGTGTAGCTGCTAAACCAAAACCACACTTTGGCTCTCGTCCTCCTCCCGTGCCATCCTGGTGTGCTCCCTCAGGCCTTCTGGAAATGCCCGGGAAGGCACACGCTCTTCCCTCCCTCCCTCGCTTGGCCCGAGCGGCCCGGAGGTGCGCGGTCCAACTGTTGCAACCTGCAGCGCGGCCGGAGCCGGGCGCGGTGACCGTCCCCACGGGCCGGGTCGCGCACCGTGTGCTCGCGCGGCGCCGGGAGCGTGCTCGGCGGGGCGGTTCCAGATGGCACCGTCTCAGGCGTCCTGCTCGCTGGCACCTCGGCGGCAGCCAGTGCCCCCTCCCCAGTAAATCTGGCAGTGGTCTATGGAGTTTGGGAGACTTATCATTCCAAGTCTGTCCTACTTTCCTGTCTGGAAGCCAGACATCTGTTTATCCCATTTTCTTTCATACAGAGTTTGGAATAGCTTTAGTTTGGGGGGGGGGGGAGTTTTGTCATATTTAACAGCTGTTACAAAATTTCAACCCTGTGGGCTCTGAAAATACTTTTCAGCTGACCTCAGATTTTTATACATAATTGACATGGGGTTGTAGAAAAATATTATTTACTTAACCTTTCATTGTCTGCGATTTCACATTGTCCTGAGTCAGATGTTCCAACTACCAACAATTTTAACTCGGCCACCAGCCCCAGCCCCCCCCCCCCCCACTGGCCCCTCCAGAGCCTGGCTTTGATTCATTTACGCGTTTTAAGTTTACACCTTTAAAGTGATTGCAGGACGGTAGCTGAGGACCGATTGGAGATTTTCTTTCTTTTTTTTTTTTCTTTCTTTCTTTCTTTTCTTTTCTTTTCTTTTTTTTTTTTTTTTTTAGTCAACAGTGTTTCCTTTCACTTCCTGTCACAAAGGTCAAAGAGAGCCGACCTTTGCTGGCAGTCCCCCTCACTGAATTATTCATGGCATTGACTTTTTGTCAGCACACACAGTTGTGCTCTGGGACATTTTATTCATTTACCTCATTTAAAGCGCCTTTCTGCACCTGTTCAAGTATTAATATCATGTAATTTGGGCCTAATGCCGATTTTGCTGAACACTCATTATATTTTTTATTAGCTATATTTCCAAACGATTATGTATGATTATTACCAAGCCTTACAAACAGCACCGGGCTATTCCCCAGCCCCTTACATCTTCTTGTCAGGTTGTTTTCAGAAGCGGGGAGGATAAACATTTGACCAGTCCCACTGTTTTTATTCCTACTCCATCTCCAAGCAGAGAACTTAAAGCTTCCTCCCTCATGGCTTTGCACGAGCGTGATTAAATCCAACTCCGAGGGAGCTGTACAAATGCCAGCATTTATAAGGTCAACGCTTTTGTTAAAAATGCTATGTAAATGAGGATCTGCAAAAAGGGACATTAAATAAAATTAAATTCATTGTCTTCTTTAATGTCATTTACATTTTGGCTAAGCCCTGGCCTGTCAAGGAGGATTTTAAAAATAATTTTAATTACACATCATTTAGGGATCCGGGGTTTTCTATTCAGTAGCATTTGGATAACCTG